AATTTGTAAAATTTGTAATTTTGGGCCAGATTTTTTTGATATTTTACAAATTTTACAAATTAATTTGTAAAATTTGTAAAATTTGTAAAATTTGTAAAATTTGTAAAATTTGTAATTTAATTCCTACAAAATTCCCCTGGAATTTGTAAAATTTGTAATTTTGGGCCAGGTTTTTTTATATTTCACAAATTTTGCAAATTCATTTGTAAAATCTGGAAATTTCACTTTTTACACATGTACTTGCGACATTTTGTGAAATGCTTAATTGTTAACCAAATTTGTTGGAATTTGGCATAGTTCAGAAACTAATCTGCAAAATGTGTAAAACTTGTAAGGTAACTCCAGCCAAATCTCCCCGGAAAGCAAATTCCCCAGAGTACGTTTCAATGTCAGCAAACATCCGATTTAGAATTACAAGCTGGATTTGAACAAACATTGCTCGGGGGTTGCAAATTGCACAAGCTAGTTTGTAAAAAGTCGGTCCAGAATTACACAAATTACAAGTAAAGGTGTGAACATTGTAAACTTGATAAAACTTGATCACCGTCCTTCCCTTAACGGCTTTTTTTGGGTCAAGTTTGTTTCATTTTGAATCGGTTGAAGTTTGGTAAGGAAATGGGGAGGAAAGCATATTATCTTTTCATTTGGAATCTCTCTTTTCTGTTATTTCCATGTGTTTGTTTTTCTTTAGGATCTCGAATTCATACTCCTTTCTTTATCTTTCACTCTCTCCCCTGACCATTTCTTCCTACAATCAACTCAATAAACTAGGATGGAAAAGACAGGGATAAAGAAATAAACATAAGATAGGTAAAGGAGAGAGGACATCTTCTGCAACACGCTTCTTTTGGATAACTTTCATACCACACATACCTGATGGAGAAAGAGATGGAGAAAACCGTACAAATAGAAAGACATGGAAAGGCGACTGGGATTGTGGGATGGATTCATTTGTATCTCAGAGATTTTATCGCATACCAGGTTAGACCAAGCGATGAAGGTAAGGGAAAGGGAAAGGTGTGAAAGAACAAAGAATGATTAAGAAAACCTTCCGCCCAGACATCACGCAGAATACACCAGATAGCCTGTCCGTGAGACTTGGAGGATATGATGATTGAAGCTTCCCTCACTATCCCTTTCCAGCCTGTCTTTGGGGCCTCTTCCAAATCATTGCCTGCTTCCTCTTGTCCATCCATCCTCATCCTTTATTTGCATTTATGGATGGGCAAGAAGTGACGAAAGCATTTGCAGGCAGTAATAATTACGGTAGAAAACGTAATATCCTCCCTTTCTTTTCAAAATCCTGTTTTATACAAGCTAACAACATAAAAAGGGCGCGAGACAGTTATGACAAAGCTAAAGATAATTATGGGTGGTGCTTACAGAAGCTATCTAATTTATTGCGTGCTAATACATGCTTCTAATCTTAAAACCATACTTACATTCCTCGTTCTTTTCTATTTTATTCTTCCCTTGTTGAGATTCATTGCGCTATCTTTCTTTGTGAATGCTTTTGGCTGTCCGGTCGTCGCTGGGGCTCACCGAAAGGCAAAAAGATTATGAGTAGGTCTTACTCATATTATTTTGCTTGTGTTTTACTATCTTTTGGACCTTTCATCCTTCCCCTTCTTCTGTTTCCCTTTTCAACCGTTGAAGAATGCCAGAAATCGAGGGGTGAAGGAAGGAGGGAGAAGCTAGCCCCCCCGTTCCTTCTTCTCCAACTGTATCGCTAGTGGGGAGAAGATAGGAAGGAGATCAACCGTTCCATCTTTACCTTTCCCTTCCCCACTACGTTCTGGAGTTCTGTCACTACGAAAGACTCACGATGGAACAGTCTAAAAGTGGGACGAAGGAAGGGGATATTGGCTTTATTTGGTTTATTTGTAGAAAAAGAAAGCCACTTTCCACAACCCGCTTCTTTCTGTAAAACACAGATGGAAGAAGATGACCTTTCCTTTCCCGGCCCAGCCAACGCTTGTCATTTTCCTTGCCTTGTCTTTTACATTGCCATGTTTTGGAAATGAAGAAGTAAAGCGTCTGGCAAGGAGGTAAGCGCCCATCAATACTAATTGAAGATACCGAATTGGATGGGCACTTACCATGGCTTTCCATCACTTCTTTCTTTCCTTTTGATTAAATTGAAGATTGAAAATGGGAAGTGAGAAGCCTCTCTTGATTTCTTCCTCAAGCACAGGCTGCTGTTAATCTTATGCCGTGTGATGCTTGGGAAGAAGAAGAAGAAGAAGAGAAGATAGGAGAGGGTGAACAGAAGTAACGTGATTCTTTCTTTTCCTCCGATCGCATCCTGATTTTCCCATGTATGTCACCCACCAAAATCTTCAACCCATAAAGATTTGACTACAGAATCCTTAAAACCTTTTTAATAGCAAATGCTAGCGGTCTCTCTCTTTTGCTAACAATCTTCTGGAAATGAAAGGACAATAATAGAGTTTTAGATCATAGGATGGTGTAAGGACTGGGTTCTTCTCATCGTTGACGTCCTTCCTTGTCCAAGTCACGGAGGAAGAGAGGTTGGTTTGTGGTCCCAAGAGCTTGTATCCTTCCCTTTCTATCTCTTCCACTTCATCCAGGAAACATTTGTGGATGGACATGTCGTTATTAAGATCATTGCCTTTCGGTTTACCATCCCATTTATTGCTTGAATGTCTATCTTTGTTGTCTTCCATTTACAATATTATCTGAGAAGTATAGAAATGCTTCTGGGTGTGAGGTTGAAAAAATTGCGATGTAAAGAAAATCACGATGGTTGGAACAGAAAGTTAATCATTACCAAGAATAGGTTCATAGTCTCTCATCTGCTGGTTGCATTCTCATGTACTTGTTCACTTTGCAACCTTTCTACTTGTTTATCTATCTTCCCAATCTCTCTTTCTCTCTCTCGCATTGTAAACGTTGGAGGCATCTGGATGGGGGAAAAAACCCGGGGGGTAATAACAAATATGAAGAAGAGGAACTGGCTAACACTCCTTCTGCTCTCCCGTCTTTCGCGGCTATCAGGATTAGTAAGAATTACGAAAAAGGCCTATGAAGAAACATAATAGATACATAAATAAATAAATCAATAGGCAAATGACAGAACCAAGAACATGAAAGTAATAAAGAATGTTAATAAATGAAACGGTCTATTGGGAGACAAATTATTCTTGTCCATCAAGAACCCTCTCCAACACAGTGAAAAACCTAGAGTGGACAATGATGGATATGATAGAAAACGCAATAAGATAATAAAACGCAGAAAGCTATGAGATTACAACGATTCTGTAATTATTGCCTTTAAATTCACCCCGTGACCACTTCATCCCATTTACACAAATATATTGGAGAAGATATTAGTGCATGATGAAGAATAAACACAAATTATAACCATAGATAGTTTGCTTGACTCTGAAGAGGCTGTTGGTCTTTACTCATGGAGTTTATTTAGTTGTATCTTCTTTCTGCTTTTGTTCTATTAGAATTTCCTTGCAAAATCTCTCACTCACTTCCTATTGTATCATTAGATATGTGCAATATTCTTGAGTTTTAGGTGAGAATGAAAAGGATATTAATAGTTCAAGTTGCTGGAGAAGGACGGAACACTATTTACGAAAGGCTATTTATTTACTAGAATCTCATGAGTAATGTTAACTAATTTGTATCGATTGGGGTTTATTTCTCACCTTCTCTTTTTAAGGGGTTTCCTTTTGCCTCCCTTCATCGCTAGAAGTGACCGAAGGAAGTTAATAGTTTTCTCATCAGAATATTGCCTGTCCAAATAGAGTGATGAATGAAGAGACGCTTAACTGTTATTATTGCTTAAGTGACGTCTCACGGACAGGCTACGTCTCCAGACCCTTTTTATATCTCTCTGATTGTTCTTTCCTTTTATGTTTATTTGACCAGCATTTGTTTACTATTTACTTCTTCCTCACTGACATTCGATCTTCTCTAACTCTGTTATCTGTTACTGTGGCTTTAATCATTTGATTAACATTTTCCTCTTTCCATTTCCATGCTCTATCTTGGTGAGCCAGCAAACGTTTAATTTAGAAAAAATATGGAAGTGATAGATAGGAGGACATCATTATTTGTTTCTATTAATACTACTTCACGAAGGTATACCGTGTGCTTTTATCACACTCTCTCACAACCAAAGAGAGGATGTTCATCTGGTCTTCATCACCCCTCACCCTTTTTTCTATTACTACAAACTAGCTGGTTCTTTCAGGGTGGGGCATGCCAAGACATTCCTTTCTACTCTTGGGATTGCACCAAAAGAGTCCATGTGCAACAATGAGCCGTTCTGCTCTTGAAGGCGCGCGGCGGCACATTGTACGTAATCTTCCCTGCCACGGGGGGGGGGCGGGAGGGGGGGTTCCTTTCCTTTTGCCTTCTGAGAAGAAGGCAAAAGGAGACCACAAAGAAAGACACGCCATAGGCCGGCGGCAAATCCCCTTCTGCCCAAGTGTTCACGAGAACCCCGCCCCCCCCCCCACCCCCTAAAAAAGAAGAAGAAAGAAGACAAAAAAAAAAAAAAAACAAGCACACCAACAAACAAACAAGCAAACAAGCAAACAAGCAAGCTAACAAGCAAGCTAAACAAGCAGCCAAGCAAGCAAAAAAAAACAAGCAAGCAAGAAAGCAAGAAAGCAAGAAAGCAAGAAAGCAAGCAAGCAAGCAAACAAGCAAACAGGCAAACAAGCAAACAAGCAAACAAGCAAACACACACGCCTCCTTTAAGTCACTTTCCCGCGGTTGTGAGCGCGACCAACTTTCGACTCCCAACCCCCAAACCCGCAAACCTTTCCGCCACCAGCCCCCAACCCACCACCCCCCACCACCAGTCCGCCAGCCCACCCCCAGCCCACCACCCCCAGCCCACCACCCCCAGCCCACCACCCCCACCCCACCTCCACCCCACCACGACCCCCAGCCCACCCCGACCCCACCCCCAGCCCACCTCCACCACAACCCCACCCCCCACACCCGGGTCAGGCGTCTTCATCTCCGCCGCGAAGGCCTTGGCCGCCTCCGCCTGCGCGGCGTCCTCTTGCTGCGCCTTCTGCGCCGCCAAGGCCACCGCCTCGGGAGAGGTCACCTTGGAGTAGCTCGGCAGCGCGCGCGGAGGGGCGAGAGAAGTACTGATACAGAGGTGTGAAATCCGAGAAAAAAAACCTAGTGATTCGTTCTTAGCAAAAAGAAGCTCTGCACTTGCTGCTGCGATTGGTAGGGAATAACCCAGATTGAGGTTTGGAACCCACTTGCTAGAATCCATTTAGGGCCACCAGATTCGTTTGTGTTCTTGACGCCATGGCTCTTCTTGACACCGCTTCCCCCGAATGGTTTCCTGGAAAAAGCAATGGTTTCTCTTGAACGGTAAGTGCAAAGTCATGTGCAACCTGTGGTCATTGGTGACCGTTACCCTTCTGCCCAACAACCTTGACTGTTGCAGGTAAGTGGGCAAACATGCATTCTACCAAGACGCCAAAGATTACAGGTCCAATCCAATAGCATTCAAGCAATGGGGGCTGGGAACCCCTCACAAAAATGAAGAGCTGTGTCTGCAAACCAGCCATTGGCTCATCTTCGGCTTAGTATTGCAGATTACAAACATGGCTATAACTGGGCTAACTTGGATGAGTCCCCATGGCCACGACCTACCAGGTAGCTTGAACACCCGAGAAGAGGGTGTGTCCCTAAATGAGGCCCCTAAAATCAGTCAGCTCCCCCTTTACCAGTTGAAAAAAGAACACCTGGCGTACAGGCTGTGGCTAGGTATGATCAGCCGTTCATCTAGAGGGTCTGGAAAATCCATCCGCAGCTCCCCTAAAATCACTGGGCTCTTTCCTGGCGGGGTCAAAAACACCCCGAAAACAGGGCGCCATCCCCGAACCCGTCGCCGGATTACAACCGGCTCCCACGAGCTGAAGCTACTCCGAGCCGCTGAGGACTTCTGGGCCGCCTGCTGCGCCTCCAGCTGCGCCTTCTGCTGCTCCGCCTTCACGGCGGCGGCCGCCTCCGCGCGCAGGGCCTCCGCCTTGGCCAGCTCCGACTCCACCTGCCATGGTCCCTACATCAGCCCAGAGGACAAAAGGACCCGCACTTTGAAGCTGCCCAACCAAGACATAAAGGGCACCCTGAGGAATACGCAGCTTCTGACTGGTGGTTTAGATGGGGTTGGAGTTGTTTCATTTGGGGTCACTGTCCTGCCATGGTCTGTGGTTGTGAATGGCGGGTGCAACCGGTGGCAACAAAAATGCAACCAGCTCTTCTGGGCTGATTCCCATGGTTTTGGTGGAGGCCATGTTGGCCGGCGAAATGCCGGTGACCTCTGATCTCGTACCTTGGAAATAATTCGTCGAAAAGGGGACCCTCGACAAATTGGTTCTCAGTAAGGAAAATACTTTTGTGGAATGAATCGCTTCGGATCACCTTGCACAGAAACTGCAAGGGATGGTTTCTAGGGGCATTCCCTCATTCCCTTCTGAGAAACAATAAAGACACAAATCAATCCTTTACAATGTTTTTTGGGATGCAGGAATCTACCTTCAGGACCCCAACACCATCGAGTCGCGAGGGGATTTCGAGTCCTCGAGGGATTGGGAAACAAAGGAAACATGCATCTGCAAACTGTCCAATGCCAAAGCCAAGCGCGCTTTATCCTCAGGTGAGCTCGCCATAAAATAGGACATGTCATAGACATCTCCAGGGGTCGAAATCCTGCCTCCCTGAATTTCATTTCGAGGGGGGGGGGCTCCGCATTGACCCCCAACCAGTTCTTTGGGTTCACAAACTGTACCTAAAAGCTAAGATGGAGGCAAAACACAGATCAACTGGGGGTGGAAACAGCGAACGGGCCTTGCTCTTGTCCGACTCCACCTCCGCGGGCACCGTCCTCTCTGGCGCCTCTGCAGTCTTTTCTGGCGCCGGCTCTTCCGTTTTCTCCGCCTCCTTCACCTCCGCTGCTGGCGTGTCCTGCAAACGGCACATACAAATGGCACACGCAACAGCCCCCCGCCCAGATCCAGCAAGAAATTCAGACCGCCTAAGCGCAAACTGGTTTGAAGTCCGTCCTCGTGCCAGGCCTTCTGACACCACAAGGCCAAGAGCATCACCCACCGCCCCCGGAACCGGACCGGAACCCTCCACAGATCCGACCCAAAACCGCCCACCCACGTTTGGTGGTTGGAGCCCGCAGAAAAGACAAAAGCCCAGGTTGCATCATATACCACCAGCCTCGAACTTTTCGGAACCCTGCCTGAAAGCTGCTCGGAACCGCACAGCTCATTAGGGCAGATGTCAAAGCTTTCAGCTGGGGAAAAAGCAGTGTTGTTCAATCCCCGCTCCCGAAAATACATACAGCAAGTAGTCCACATCCAAGGTCCCCCCACATATTGCCTGGCTTGCCTTTACCTAAATGAAGCGTAGTTTGATCAATGTCCCACCCAAACGCTTGGATTAAATTCCTTTCTTTGTTCATCATTTTAATTAAGGGCAAAGGTGTAAGATGGTAGTTGACCCAAGTAGTGAGAGGTGGCTTTTTTCGTAGGGCTGGTTTTTCTTAGGGCTGGCAACATCACCAGCCGACTGCTAAACCCAAAGCCAACCAACCAACCCACCAACCAACCAGGCGGACCAGCCATAGTAAAACCGGTCACCCTGAGCGTGCACATCTTGTGTTTCTATGGCCTGTGCTCAGAGAGAAAAACAGAACGAACACAAAAAATAAAAAAGGAACTCCAAAAGGAAATCAGAAGGAACGAAGTCACAGGTCCCAAAGTTGTTGGCAAAATTGTGCTTAAAAGCTTACTGATTTGTAAAGACAATTCCATTGGAAACGAAATGCTGTGCAACATGTTTTGCATAGAATTTGATAAAGATATTAAGTAGAACTCAGAAGGACAGAATTCAGAGGTTGGTCCGAAAACACCGTAAAACAGAGTGTGGTGTAGCGTTGTTGGTACTCAATGCACATCTCCACCAACGGTCGCTCTCTAAAAACCCATTAGAATATAAATAGGTTTTAATAGGACATACTTGTTCCGAATCCTGCTGGCAATTGTATCTTAAATTTAGAGTTTGGCCAGAATTCCTTGCCCAATAGAACCTTACAATTCAATTAGAGGTTAAAGTCAAATTGTAATGAAAGAATCCATCACAATATATATGTCTGAACTATAATTAATCCATTTTAAAACAGAATTGACACAGGATGTTCTTTCCAACCAAATGTCTTTGCAAAACTTAAAACAATTAACATTTAAACACAATTTATTCAAGCAAAGTCAACTCGACATTCCATTCAAAATGCGAAAATCGCACGCTCACAGAGTCCCGCCCTCTAAAAACAAGAGCCCTAGTAACACCTGCTCCCCTCCCCTCCCCCAAGTACGAGCAACAAGAAAAAACACAAAACGCACTCGGCTCCTGCGGCTCCTCGTAGCCCCACTCGTTGAACCTGGCCCTCTTCTTCGCCTTTGCCTCCCGCTCCACCGTCGTCGTTGCGGCGGGGCCAGCTTTGCTCTGGCGCATCCGGGCGCGCGTCTTCAAGGCCACCTCCTGTGGTGCACTTGGACCCAGGCAAAGCCAAAGGAAAATCTAGGTAACCGAGGAGAAAGAGAAAAAGGAAAGAAACCAAAGAGAACATCAAAGGACAAATGAAAGGACAATTCCAAAGTACCTGGCACCTGGTAAAAGAAAACCAACGGAAGTCGTTTGAAGTCGTTCATTTTGCCCCAGTTTGGCCATCTTTTTCGGAAAGGCTTGGAGAAACCAAAACCCAGTCCTTCTTTTCCACCCCCCGGCGGACCCGAGACAAGGCCATGGCGGGAGTCTCCAGAGGATGCAGGAAGGCCACCAACTCCTCCAAGATGTCAATGACCTTCGCTTCATCCTCCTCAGCACATCCCAAAAAATCATAAGGGCGAGGGGGGTAGAGGGTCCCCCAATTCCATTTCTAAGGGGTGGGAATCTCAGCACCCTGACTTGACCCATTGGGTTCCAACAAATGGTTTGATCGAAATCAAAGGCGCCAAAAACACACATGATCGTCCTTTGGCACAATCGGAACCAATTCGCGTACTAGACATTGTTGAGAGGATGGTCTGGCGGGGACGATTTGAGGAACGCCTGCATCCTTGCAACCAAGAACCCCGAAGCTGTCAAAAGGAGTTGGAAGTTTGACCTCAGGTTGCTTGAACAAAGGCGCTAGTTTCCACTTTACGGGCCAGTTCCTGGCTGTCCAAACACATGCCCCGCCCAACACCTGGAAATCCAATGCGTCCTTGTCCTCTGCCTCCGCCTCTTCCGGCTTCATCTCCGTCTCCTTGTCCTCCTTCTTGTCCTCTTCGCCCTCTTCTTTGTCCTCCTCCTCCTCGTAAGAGCAAGTTCAACTCCACAACACCTCCGTGATGTTCACTGGATCTTCTGGCTCTAGAAAGAGAAATCTAATGAGGCCCTGCAAAAGGCTTTTAGATGAATTCAACCCCCCCCCCTCCCCCTGTCACCACAATTCAAAGTCACTGAAAACCCCTGAAAACGCATGATTCATCAAAGGGGATGCCGGTATGTATGACTGAACGCCCCAGATAGTCCTCACCCAGGGAACTCGTCGACATTGCCCTCCCAAGCCCGACGTTGTGAGAGGAAGGGGATGACATGGGGAAATGGGGTATACAGTATACGCTTGAACAACTGAGATGCTTGGTTGATTAGTTCACTTTTTAGGGGGTCAGGCTTGGCTTCCTCTTGGCATCATCAAACATTTTGGTTGCTCTTATTTGGCACCCAGGCAACCTGGGAGGGGTAAACCTCTCTCCCCTGATTATTCCGGCAAGTCCTCCTCGCCCTCAGAGTCCGGCCCCAGATTCTTCGCCATGGCCGAGATGCGGTTGGCCGCAGTGCTCAGGGCCTGCCATTCAGACTCCGCGCGGCGCCAAATGGATCCGGGCCGGAAGATGGAAACGAAGCAGACAAAGCGGCCAGAAATTCATGACGAGGCCATCTCTGGCACCAGACCCGGCAAGTTGACTAGTTGACCGCAGGCTGTGTCTCACCCAATCGTGGTGCAAGACCCCCGCCCAAAAAAAAAAAAAAAAAAAACGTCTCACTCAATCGTGGTTTATCGTCTTGAAAAAACCCACCGCTCGGCCGCGTTTCGCTTCAAGCGCCTTGTTCTGCTTCTCGGCGGCGCGGAAGGTGGCGGTGCGCTCGGCCTGGTCCACGGTGTCCAGCCAAGCGTCCGTGACCTTCTTCTCCTCGTCCTGCCATGCGCCGTTTTTTGAGACTTGGTACCCTTTTCGGGTGGTTTAAAGGGAAACCAGACAGTTTCCGGCTGGATATCCTCGAAGAGGTTGTGGATAGAATTCGGAAAACCATGTTATTTGGAGGGATTCTTGCTGAAATTCCTACATATTTATTTGAGGCATTCATAAACCAATGGCTGAATCATCGGTGTTCCAGTGAAAAGGAGATGCTTCACTTTTTGAGGAAACACCCGCCCCCCCCAACCAAAAGGAAGAAAAGCAGAAAGTTCCATAGTACAAAAACTATTTCCAATTATCGCTGTGCATAGCTTGAAGATCAGGCAGCGTACGCGGATCGTTTCGGCATGTGTTCGGGAAATATTGTGAGATATCCTTTTTGCTACTGCGCGCGTGTTCATGAATATCGAGTGTATCCGGGGCCAACCCAGGAAGCAGCCTGAGTAATAAGCACCTCTGAAACATGCTCTCTCTGGGCATCCGGACTTTGCAGCGGATGGGGTGCCAGGATCCGTGGCAAAACTCGGGGTGCCCAAACCATCATCTGTTCATAATATAAAACCCTTAAGAAAACAAACAATCACAAAAGGGGATACTCCAGAAAAGCCCCTAATCTCGTTGATCTGACTGTTTTGGGGTGTCTTTGATGTCAAGAGTGGCTGGAGAAACCAGTCAATGAACAAATCCGTTCAGCTAACATCCCCACTACCTGGAGCATTCATCTTCCAAATAAGAGGTCTTTGGAGATTCAACCTACTGGGTCGTCATCGCGGTTACATGTCAACTTACCAAAGGGGACACCTTTTTGGATGGTTTGCAGGAAAACCAAGAGACATCTTATGCCAAAATTGGGGAACATGGTTTTCCGCTAGCTATTTGGTGAGTGTGGGGGCGGGGGGGGGCCATGTGGTCACGCAAGACTCTCATCCAACCAATACTCGAAATCTATTCTGAAGTTTTGGCAATACAAATTTAGCATTTGCAACACTAGATTAAGTGTTGGGAGTCTGAGATAAAGTATTGGCAATCCTAAACTCAGCATGGGCAACACTAAATCAAGAAGTAACAAGCCCAAGCCCAACCCGGCCACCACCCCCCCTGCAATGTCCCTTAAAACGAGTCAACATGAAATGTCGTTTCGGGCGGAGAGTCACATTCACAAGGTGCAACATTGAGGGGCAAACAATGGCAAACAACTCGGCTAAGTCTACCGGAATAGGGCTTGGCCTCCGACTGGCTTTGTTCTGGCAAACCCCATTTGCCTTACCGCCCCATAGCCGAGCAAAGGTGGCCAAGTAGAATCCCTCGGCGCAAATAGGGGTGGGGGTCCGGCGTCCAAGTTGCATCTCCCCCTCCTTGTTCAGCACGTAGAAGCCACTCTCGTCGAAGTGCCCCTCGCGCATCTCGCGACGCATGTTGAAGGGCTCAAGCCGGATTCCGTCGTCGATGCTGTTCAGGGGGTCATCCTCATCGACACCTCGGATCTCCAAACCTCCAAAGTGTGCCAGGGGGTGCATGTGTTCAACTCCACCATGGATGTCGGAAACAGATATGCAGCCACCCAACAATGCAAAGCCAAACGAAACAAGCAGTGGTCGCAAAGCAATATGCAAAGCCAAGCCCAAAGCAAAGCAAAGCCAAAGCAAAGCCAAAAGCAAAAGCAAGGCAAGCGAAGCGCGTACGCACAGCAGGCAAACAAACGAGCAAGCAAGCAAGCCAGCAAGCAAGCAAGGGCAGAAAGCGAAGCGGCAAAACGGGGCATTGCCAAATCAAGGCGTGCCACTGAGCATGCAAAGAAAAGCAGGCGGAAGGAAGGAAGGAAGGAAGGAAGGAAGGAAGGAAGGAAGGAAGGAAGGAAGGAAGGAAGGAAGGAAGGAAGGAAGGAAGGAAGGAAGGAAGGAAGGAAGGAAGGAAGGAAGGAAGGAAGGAAGGAAGGAAGGAAGGAGGGAGGGAGGGAGGGAAGGAAGGAAGGAAGGAAGGAAGGAAGGAAGGAAGGAAGGAGGAATGCTGCCGCCAAAGCAGGAGCCAAGAAAAGAAAGCCAGAAACCAAGGCCAAGAACTGCAAAGGAGATTGAACAAAAAATCAACGTATTAAACCTCCTCGGAATAGCCAAATCGATCAAACATGTTCGAAATGCGGGAAACACTGCAAACAAAACAAGGGAACCCCAGAATTCCAATACTCATTCAGCCCAAACAAAAATAAAAGCATCGTCCAGGCCAGGCGCCCTCATTCTCCCGGATGTCCTTGAAGGTCTTGACCCCCTTCCGCGCCTGAGCCCGCTGGGCCCTCAAGATCTCGAAGTTGGACTCCGCCTCCACCGAGTGCCCGTCCAGCTCCTCGCCAACTGCGGCTTCCGCGGAGCGGGTGCCCCACACCCCAAGGACTCCGAGAACCGGCGAGCGGATCCAGGCAGCGGAGTTGTTTTGTGAGCCAAGAGCCATGGTCAAGCTTACTTCATTTTCTTCCGACATGACATGTGAACACTTGGACTCGCATTCTGGCGTTGGTGAAGTTTAGTCCCCAACTGTGGCTCCCGAATGAGCGGTGCCGAAAACCAGCTGCATCAAACCCCCTACTGACGAACCACTTTTGCGATGCTTTTCGCGGCCGCAAGTTTCACTTTCGCAGGCAAGTGACTCCGTAAAGGATCGCTCGGTGGCTGTGCCTACAAGGAAGCAAAGCTTCCAGGATGTCGGAATCCAATCGTCATGGGCCAAGTGGAGCTTTTGCGGAGATTCGCGGAATTTGCCTGCATTTTTGGACTTGACGCTATCCACAATGACCGGCACAGCCCACCCTCACGAGCCCGAAATGGACGTCACGCCCGAGTCACGCCCTGCGTGATAGCTTCTGCGAGGCCTTGTTAGGAGAGGGTTTTGGCGCTGCTCAAATATAGCATAGACTGACGGACATGTTGACCAAACCTCATTCACACACCTGCTGCAAAAGGCACCAAACAACTGTTTTCAGGTTGAAGGGGAAACAGCCCAAAGTGATTTTCGCCAAGTAGATGGCATGACCCTTTCTGTCCGCAGGTAAGGTGATGATAATGCGGAGTTGAGAGAACTCTGCCTTCTAGGTTCGCCCCCCATGTATAGGCGCAACCTACCTGTGACAATCTTAGTGGCCTGCCAGCATGCTTTCCCTGTTCCACACAACGAGACATCTATGAGGGTTCCTCGGTGAATTGACCAGGAACAGTCCGAAATGTTTGCTTGCCAATAAAATGGTCAAGACCACTCTAGAGTGACTAAAAAGCCAAGAACCCAGCAAGTGAGCTTGTGCCCCATTTAACCCCACCAACTCAAAAGGGGGAAGTCTGCGAGTTTGGCTCGAAAAGCCACTCCTGGAGGCGCTTGGCGGTGTCCGAATTGCCCTTGGCCTTGCCCTTGCCCTTGCCTGCGGGGAGTTAGCCTAAGAAACCCAAAGGCGAAGACTCCCCCCCAGAAAATCAGAGAACAGCCCTTCAACTAATTGACTGGAAGACAATGTTCCCTTTAAAGGGACCATTTCCCGAACGTCAGGTTCCATGGTGATTGGTGGAAGGATATTTGCATTATCTCGATTTGTTAAGTGCAGAAAGCAATGGCTCCAAACATCGCACCCCGGCCTCCACCTTTCTCCTTGGTCTTGGGTGCCATGAGCGCAGGTTCAAAACAAGCCCGCGGGGGTCTCAATTTCCTTTTGTGCAAAGATGGCACACCTTTGGAACCCACCAACTCGATCTATCCTTTTTGGGTTGGGGAAATCCAAGAGCTCCAAAAGCTGTGGGCTCGCTTGGTGTCACGTAGCTGGCGGGGTGCCCGTCGCATGTCTCGAGCCAATGCGGAAGGCAACAGCGGTCACTTCTTAGTGGATGGGGCAAACAAGTCATTGAGGAGAGTAAGACACATCTTGAACATGCACACATGTCCGAATTGTTGATCAGCGCAGCCTCAACCGATACAACTGGAGCAAATATGCTGTGCGATTGCATGGATTGCGAAGGGTAAACTACACCAAATGCTGGCACCCCTGGCAAAAAGAGCTAATCCTGTATGACGGCTGTGGAGATTATCATCCTTTCCGATGCCTTCAAACCAAGTTTATCCGGCTTTAGTTGCGCAAGCTGTCTCAATAGGTAGTTTCTTTGGCCCTCCAGAAGTTGCGAACCGGGCATGTCAATAAAAACAGTCGCCAAAGCTGCTGATCTAGACCAACCCTAACCACAAACCAAGCCTATATAAACAAACCCTGAACCGACCCCGAACCAACCCTAGGCCAATCCTAGAGCTTTTGCCGGAAGTGCCAAATGGCAATCTAAGCAGACGGATAGGCATGCTTCCGGGCAACACGTAGCCCCGACGCAAACAAACCAGAAGCATGCGTCTTAGACCAAACTGGGGCCTCTTTGTGTGCTAAGCTGCCCTGAACCCAGAAAGCCATGTAAAGGCCAGCGTCAAAGCACAAGTTGCAAGCTAGCCTTGCCACTGCAGCAAACCCACGGCCCAAATACACACCAACCCCAGACGCAGCCAACACTACTTGCCCACAGGGTAGCACACAAACAAAAGGCCACACAATTTCGCAAATCACAGTCAACTTACCAAGCAGCATGAAGCCAGCATCACACGAGCGTAGCACTATGCCTGGCTAGGGCCTAGGGCACAACAGTGGGAACGTGACCGCACGGTACTGCGCTCGCGCCCTGCTCTCGTCTTGCTAGCGGAAAACAGCTGCCTTTGCCAACGTGCAACAAGCGGATCAAACAGTAGAAGCAACATTCGTGACCACATGTCAGCACTTGAGGTTCATGACTTGGCTGCCATCGACAGCTTCAGAACCGTGCTTTCGCGCGGGCATCACCCCTGAAAACGGTGCAAAACGGCTCCGTGCACGCATGGGAGCTCAGAACGGTTCTGAACCAAGATGGGTTAGCGCACGCCCGCAACTTGAACGGTTCAGAACGGCTCAGGCCTCCGCACTTTTAAGGAACGGTTCAGAACGGTTCCTGCCTTCGTTTGAGTTGTCAATCCGCCATTTCAGTAACTTCGTTTGCACAAAAAAGCTTGCGCGTTTGGAAACCAAGGCAATTAGCGCTTGGCAATGGACGCCTTGATTTCCCTCCGCCGCGCCACCTGGGGCTCATGAGGAACAAACAATACAAGTTTTCTGGTACGTTATACTCTCGTTCAAAATGTTGCGACTGAGCGGCGCAAAAAAAGAAAGAAGAAAACAAGGCTATCTTGCCAGGACAGTCAGTGGGTGCGAGGAATCAACAGCGCCTTACTTCAGGATTAGGGAAGCGCGCCGCCTATTGGGTGAGTCGCTTGGCGCCGGACGAGTTTGCCGCTGATCATGCGAGGGCAACAGGCCCGAGAATATAAAGACGAAGCTGTCGCAGGCTGGGCCAAAAGCGCCAACTGCTAGCAACTGAGCTTGACCACTTGCGGCCTTGCCCGCTGACCACCCAGGAGCCGTTCTGAACCGAGTGCAGGCAGAAACATGTGTCCCAACCCTCTCCCCCCAAACAAACCTCAAGCACGGCATCTTCGAGGCAAGCGTCAATAGCTGCCTTCCGCATGGCAAATGCACCACAGCAGCAACTCTCGACCTGATCTAAGTGCCCACCAACATCCCCCCCCCCTCCGCGCAAAAATGCGAAAGCCCCAGGCCCACCTCGGACACCTCTGACAGCCTCAGAGCCAAGGGCTGCAGGCTGAGGCAAACCCATTTTAGACTTCCACCCGGGCTGCAATCCTATGTTTGTTTTTCAAAAAGCAGTTGAGGTGCTGGTGACCCTACGAGTGGATGGGCCAGAAGAAGTCTGGCTGAGCCGTTTCGGCTACCACAAAAAGTGTCTTCCCGACAGGTTGCTCATGTCCTGGAACTCAAGGAGTGCTTGTTTCCCCTTCAAACATCATCCCACTGATCTCTGCCAATCTCAAAACGGGAAAAAGGCTGGACAGTTTGGCCCCCTGCCCACGAAGATTAACTTTTGCTGCTTGGTGGGGGAACACACATTTTCCAAGAAATCCGCCGACATTGCTCGGCGTGTCGGATACCAAAGAGAGGACTATTGGATACCTAAGAGAGGATAGAGGAGATAACCCCCCCCTTAGTCCCCCCCCGGGATACATCAAATACGCATGGTTTTTCGGTCGCCCCCCCCCCGTCCGCGCGGCAATTTGATGACGTTCCACTAAACGTAGTCTTCGGGGAGCCGGTGTCGCAAAACAGGGGTCCCAGGCTCGATTCCCCCTGCCGGCTTTTTTGCTGGCTTGGGCTTCCTACATCCTTTTGCCGAAAATCTGGAAAACTCCATGTTTTTGGACGTCTTTCATACATTCATCCATTGCATTCATTTCATACATTACATTCATTACATTCCTTACATACATTACATACATACATACATACATACATACATACATACATACATACATACATACATACATACATACATACATACATACATACATACATACATACATACATACATACATACATACATACATACATACATACATACATACATACATACATACATACATACATACATACATACATACATACATACATACATACATACATACATTACATTACATACATACATTACATACATACATACATACATACATACATACATACATACATACATACATACATACATACATACATACATACATACATACATACATACATACATACATACATACATACATACATACATACATACATACATACATACATACATACATACATACATACATACATACATACATACATACATACATACATACATACATACATACATACATACATACATACATACATACATACATACATACATACATACATACATACATACATACATACATACATACATACATACATACATACATACCATACCATACATACATACATACATACATACATACATACATACATACATACATACATACATACATACATACATACATACATACATACATACATACATACATACATACATACATACATACATACATACATACATACATACATACATACATACATACATACATACATACATACATACATACATACATTACATACATACGTTACATTACATTACATTACATTACATTACATTACATTACATTACTTTACATTACATTGATACATTACATTACATATACATACATACATTACATACATTACATACATACATACATACATACATACATACATACATACATACATACATACAGACAGACAGACAGACATACAGACAGACAGACAGACAGACAGACAGACAGACATACACATATATGTATATATATATATGCATACATACATACCAGAGAGGGAGACTGGGCATGGAGAGGCTTGGGGGGATGGGGAGGATGGGGAGCAGAGGGAGGGAGAGAGGACGACAGAACACACAAGGGAGACAAGGGAGAGAGGCAGAAGGAGAAAAGGGAGAGGACAATGTCGGCGGACTGAGCTGGAGGCTCTAAAGTTGAAGGTTAATGCTAAGAATCCAGCCACATAGCAACCAACCTTTCCTTTAAACATCACAACAGCCAGCAGGAAGTTCATCTCAAAGGACCAGAAGATTCTGTTTCATTCAACAGCAAAACAATGAGACCATCCATTCTGATAACTTCAAGGGAAACCCGTTGCACCGCTGACTATGATCAACCGAACCCATGCTCAGCGTGGTTGCATGCTGTGGTGTCACACCTGCGCATTCCCAATCGACACTACCCCAAGAGAAAGCTCACTTTAAAATTGGCCCATGTCCAGAACCACAAAAAAGGGAATTAAAGGAAGCCCTGTCACAACCTACCTTGTCTAGGTCCATGCGCGTATGCATCCATACCCTGGCGGAAAGAAAGCATGCCAAAGCAGGATCGTGCCCATGATTACCTGATTGCCTTTAAGAGCTTTGTGCTTGTTGTGTCGCAGAAACTGGCACCAACAAGAGGTTTGAGGAAGCTTCGGGTGGGTTTAAGGACAGGGTCAGAGTTGTGGCTTACACTCCTGCGAGCGGGAACCGATAAAACCAGCATTTTTATAGGAGTGAGTGAGTGAGCGAAAGCTGCTGCGCTATGTGGGAAGCGCAGAGCCACTGCCTAAGGTGCCATCCCTCCTGGCTTCGCGAGAGGCTCCGTAAACGTCATTGCCTCCTCCACTTGGAGTTCAAGCTGGCTAAGCGCCCCTCAGGCTCACAGACCCAAATAAGTGTGGCTTAGGGGAAGTGCTTCTGCCTAGTCAGGCCCGCCACCGCACCAGTCGCGAACCGCGACTGGCCGGTATAAGGGCAAGACAGCATGACATCCTCGAACAGCAGCGCTTTCCCGCAGGCACTTGGCACTGGGATCTCTCAGTGGTACTAAGCCGCAACCACACACTGGGCCTCGTCCTTGCCTGAGGCAAGAGAGATGCCACTCACAGGTGGTATAGGCTGCAAAGTGAGCCATGCAGCAAAATGCCACACGGCTTGGACGCAGCGAAAGCATTTATGTAGGACTTTGATCTTGGTAACCTTTCTTTGCAGGGTGTAGGCTTGGACTGGGTTGTTCGGTCCCTGGCCCTGCCCACACAGCCCTTTTTGCTTGGCTCAGCTCCAGCCCTCAAGTTCAGGGCTGCGACAGGACCGGCCTCCCTGGAAAGACTTGAGTTAAAATACTGGGCCCGGAGAAAAAG